ATAGGGCAGACCAGACATTAGCCACCCAAAGCCCAACCATCAGGAATAACCCAACACTCCACCACATTATTGCCCCCACTCAAGTTACAAGCCCTCGCTACAAGGCCCGACAATAGAGTAGGTTCTAATCTCTATATATAAACATAAATAATCCACTGTTTATAAGCGATGTGGGAAGAAGACCCTGGTCGGTGACTGAACATGTAGATTTACCTTTATTTTAAATTTAATTCTTAAAGATGAAAATTGAAAGTTAATTAATTAGGATTTAATAGTGTTTTCTACTAGTGGGCAAAACATAAATAAAATTATTTTCATACAGATTTATAAATCACAAGGTGCTACAAAAAAGTGAGATCAGTTTTTCAAAGGTTAAGTATAACTTCTTCTTATTGAGTTTATACCTCCGAGTATGTGTTTGGCAGAAACAAACTATTTTTAAGGAAATATATATATATATATATATATATATATATATATATATATATATATATATATATATAAAAGTTATTTTTATACTTATTTCTTAGTGTAATTGTCCTAAGAATATCGATATATTATCTAAAATAATATTATGGTTGGTGAAGGGTTGAGGTGGGGATTGGTGTGTTGGAGGTAAGAGGAGAAAATCAATGAAAAATTAATTTTACTTTTGGAACATATTTTCCTAACTCGATCCCACTAAGCAAGCCATTTTTTTTATTTTTGATGAAGTTGTTTTTCTAACTAATAGGCCATGAAAAATTTTATTTCCTTAATTCGTTGTCAAACACATCCTTAATGTTTCTCGTTTTGCACGTTATTTCTTTTCTTTGATCATTATTTTCCGGTCAAAATGTTACCATAAACAAATCATTTTGTAGGAGAAGACATCAAAATTTATAAATCCACCACATTTTTAGTCACCTATTATCATTATCGCTTATATAAGCAGTACTTATCGTTCTTAATTTGAATTAGTGTCCGGTAAGTGCTCCCTATATTAAAAGTTCTTCATATTTTGAGCTTAAATTGAAACCTTTGATTAAAATGAATTAGAGAAACTTCAATCATTTCATCGTATCTCTTTATACTCGATAGTGTCAGCATTATTTACCAATCGGCTCACGAGTCTCATGACAATTGTGCAAAGTAGTGAATAATTAATTATTAATAGACTATTTGTTGATATTGCAAACTACAAAATTATACTTTCTTTTTTTCTTCATTTTAATTTGTCAATTTGAACTTATCAAGAAAAAAATAATTATTTTTTTCATATTTTACTTTTAGCATTAAAAGAAAAAATATGATAAAATAATCATATCAATTTTTTTTCTAATGAGTGTCAAATCTAAGCATAAAAAGTAAAAATGAACGGAGGGAAATAATATAAGGCACTAATTTGGACTTCTTGGTCATAACCATTCAGCATTCATCAAATCATTAGATTAACCTATTTAGGTTCCTCATAGTCATAAAGGTCCCCCAATGCCTTTCTTGACTAATCATTCAATAATAGTTTTGATCAATATGTAATTTTCAATTAAATCTCGCTAAGTTAGGCAAAAAATGGTGGCCTAATTAGATAGCCCATTAGGTTTTTATTGAACTTGGAAAGCATTAATCCATTATCGGTAGTTCTTCTAGATCTAAAACTAAAAAATATACTATAGTAAGAATGAATACGGATGATTATACACATGTTAATGATATTGTTTTAATATTGATAGTAATTCAGGATTAGATCCTTATCATGAACATTTACAACGTCGCTTTGGTAATTTTAATGAGGAATTGCCGTCGAGATTATGATAATGATAATGACATTGATGATTATACTTATACACCTACTTTTGATGATGATGATAATGAAACTGAGCCACCTATGACTACTAATACTCCCATTTCCACTCCTAGTCCCGCTCCCTTTCGTTGTCCTGCCCCTGTTCCCCCCGTACATTCTAGGTCTAAGGTAGAACGTGCTAAAAATCGATTATTTGGCAATTTATGACACAAAATGAAGATAAAACACAAGTTATTTGTAATAAATGTAAACATAGATTAAATCATAAAATTGTCGGTAAATCTAGTGGAACGGGACATTTGAGTAGTAATTTTGATGTCTTGTTGTAATATGAATTTTTGCATGCTAAAGCGGTAACGGAAGCTAAAAAGAACGGTATCCCCCTTCCTGAAAATGTAGGAGTAGGCGGCTCTAACATGGTACAAACACAATTATATCCTTCTAATGTTTTTGGCTCTAGTTTACCCCGTTCATATAGTAGAGAAAAAAGATCTTGAAGAACTAGCTAAAATGATAGTTGTTATGGATTTGCCATTTAGTTTTGCTGAAAATCCCGGTTTATACATTATATTCAAATTGTATATAATTCACATTTTAAAGGTTTTGTTAGAAATACAATGAAAATGCTTTATTTGATTATCAAGCACAACATTTTCAATATCTTCATTGTTTATTTTATTATAATAATTGTAAAATAGCTATTACTTCTGATATGGGTCGCAGTATAAAAGGTAACGATTATTTGACTGTTACTGCACATTGGATTGATGAAAATTGGGATATGCTAAAAAAAATAGGTTATAAATGTTGTCAGATGCAAAAATAGGTTATAAATGTTGTCAAATGCAAAAAACCAGTTGTTATATAGCTTAAATTATTTTAGATATTTTACAAAGTTATGGAATAAGTGATAAAATAAGTAGTATAACCTTAGATAATGCTTCAAATAATTATGTTGCTGTTGAATTGTTAAAACCTGCTCTTTGTCCTATTTATGGTGATGATTATCATATTAGGTGTATTGTACACATATATAATTTGATTGTTAGAGATGGTATACAGATGTATGATAACGGTTGCACGAAAGTTGAAAATGCATGTCATTTTATATTTAAATGTCAAGTTAAGTTTAGGCGTAAAGATTTTCAAAATCGTTGTTTAGAATATAATCTTCCACCTAGAAAAATTCCAAAAACAGTGTCTACTAGATAGAATTCTTTATATGAAACGCTTGTAGTCGCTTATGAATATAGAATACCCTTACAAATGGTTTGGAATGCTCATAATTCAGATATGTCATATAAACTCGATGATAGTGATTGATGTGACATAAATGAACTTATAGATTTCCTAAAAGTTTTTTACTTAACTGCCAAAAGAATATTTGTACTTTATAGTCTATCAATTTGTATTGTTTTTCCTGATATTTGTATGATTTCTTCTAAATTATATAAATTTAAAAATAAATCAAGATTTCAAGAAACTATTCAAAAAATGATTGAAATTTTTTAAAAATATTATATTCCTATTTCTCAAATTTATTTAACCGCTTGTTTGTTAAACCCTCATTATAAAGATATAGGTGCATAAAAAATGGTTGATAAAATATATTTTAACTTAGATATTGATAGTGAATTAGATAAAACTCCTAGTTGTCAACAAGTTAAAGATAATATAAAATTTGAAGCTAGAAAATTGTATGAATTATACAATTCTAATATAAATTTATCAAGTGAACAAGAACCTCAAAGTTCTAAGAGTAGACTTAATGAAGATAATATTGATGATTATTTAGATTCTTATCTTGAACTTTCTCACAATAATAGAAATGATTTTGATGCATATGTCAATCAAAATACATAGCCTATTGAAGATGTTCTAGCATGGTGGAGAAATCGCGGCAAAGGATTTCCAAAACTACAACCGATGGCTCGAGATATATTAGCTATTCAAGCGTTGTCAGTAGCTTTGGAAGGCTGTTTTATTGAAGCAAGGTTTCAAATTGAAGATCATTGGCATTCACTAGCAGCAGATAGCTTGGAGATTCGGTATTATTTAGAGATTGGATTAATGCCGAGAGAAGAAATTTGGGTCGTGAAACACTACCGACCAAATTTCAAAATGACGTTGATGAAATCATGCAAGATTATAGTGACGACGAGATTGAATCAATAAAAGATTTATCTATTCAACCAATCCCCGATCATGTTACTATAAAAATGTTAAATGATTTAAGAAATAATCTATATCGTAGCACCGACTATTAGTAAAAGTATGATAATTCGAGATTTAATTCAAATAGAACCCTTCCTAGAAGGTGTTCTGTAGATTAAATCTTTTAATACTTTACTAATATTTTTGTAGATGAAATTGTAATATCAAATAAATATTAATAGAAGTATAGGCTAATCACCTTCATTTTTTTTATTATTGGTGTATTAAATTTAATTTTTAATATTGTGAATTTTAAATTTTTACAACTTTTAAAGTTTGAAAATTAAATTTATACTTTTAAAGTTTGAAATTTAAATTTTAAATTTTATAACTTTTAAAGTTTAAAATTTAAATTTTATAACTTTTAAACTTTGAATTTTAAATTTTATAACTTTTAAACTTTGAATTTTAAATTTTATAAATTTTAAAGGTATATATTATTAATTTTATGTTTATAATTATTATAATATAAATTATATTCAATTAAAAAAAACTAATTTTTTAAGTTTTAATTAATTTTAATTATTTTTTTTTAAAAAAACCCGTCCTGTCACGGAAACCGGTCCGGTATATTACCGGTTCCCTGGTGGACTGGGACAGCTCCAACCAGAAACTACCGGACCTACCAGTTTCGGAACAATTTCGGCTGAACGATCCCGATTCCATGCCAGTTTCAACAATTACCGGTCTGGTCCGCCTGATACTGGTTTCGTCGCCACCCTTACTCGCCGTAGCTGCAAACCACAATAACAATTTTCTTTATATTAAAACTTGAACAAAAAACATTTGATAGAAATACATGATTATATGTTTCAACAATCAATTAAAATAAATCAATTTTCTGTAAATAAAATTTACTTATAATTTAAAAATTATCGATGTATTAAGCGTCAAAAAATAATCATTTCGACAATCTATTAAAATAAATTGATTTTTTGTAAATAAAATTTGCTTATAATTTAAAGATTATCGATGTATTAAGCGTCAAAAAGAAAAAAACAAAGGTGGAGAAAGAAAACAAAAGATCTAACAATAACAAAATCAGAAAAAGGAGAGAGAACCCCATAGAAGTTCTCTGTGTCTTCTTCTATCACTTTCCGCTTTTGAAACCCTAATTATCTTCCTCAACCCGACTCACCGTTTCTCAGTTTCAATTTCTCTCCAATTTTCCTTAACTTTCTGTAATCTCCTGAATGCAGATATAGATATATAGTAGCAAGGTTTGATAAATACTTGATAGAAATGTATAGAGATCGAGGAGGTGGCGGAGGAGGAGGTGGTGGTTCATCGAAGTCGGAGATGATCGGTGGACCGTTGGATCGGAAAAGAATCAACGATGCGTTGGATAAGCACTTAGAGAAGTTGTCACCTTCTACATCTAGGTCTTTGAAGGATAAAGCTGTTCCCTCTACGTCAACCGGTGGTGGTGGTGGTGCTGGAAAATCGCATTTTGATCATCGTAATACCAACAAAAACAAGTGCTCCGATGGTTAGGATTTTCTTTTTTCGCCATTAAATATTTTCCATTTTTTGAAAGCATTGGATTTTGTTTTTATCGGGTTAAAACTGTAGTATTTTGTGATTAGCTATTGATATCATTTCTGCAGCTGCTGGTAGAATAGAGGATCCAGCTGTTTTGGTTTAACATGTTTTAATAGAGATGTGATTTTGGGAGTAATTGCTGGAGATGAGCATAATAGGATTTAGTTGTGATTAGCTACTTCCTTGTTTCTTCAATTTGTTTGTCTTGCATTCCTTTTTAAGTCCGTTTCAGAAACTTGTCTGTTAACATTTTTGTCTAATCTTTAATTTCAAATGACACGTTTAAGACGACAAGATTAAACTATATTTTGAGTTCTTTCTATGTATTTTTAGTTTAAGACTATAAGATTAACAAAAAGTTGTCTTTAGTTTCTTAAACTCTATGCCAAGTTAAAGCGAGACAGGCAAATGAAAACAGGGGAGTATGTAGTTTCTTCTTCTTCTTATGTTTTTTTATATAATGGTTTTCAACTGCTGTTGGTCATGCTTTGAAGCAGGAAAGATATATCATTTGCTTTTATTGCGGCTTTGGCTGTAAAGTATTTTTGGAGCTTAATCCACTTGCCTTTGCAGTGATATGAAATTATTAGAATTTATGAGAGCTTAATCCATCTTTGGTGTGTTTTAGTTGTTCTTATAGTAAAATTGCTTTCGTTTCCGGTTTCCCCTATTTTTTAATGATGCAATTCTTTGGAAGTAATTGCAATGTTCCTTTTATCCAAAAAGTATCATGAAATGAATTTCAGATAAAGCTTTATCAAGTGCTAAAGGGTGAACATGGATGAATGAGTATGGCCCGAATCTGCTTATTTTGTTGCTTGTTCTTTGTGGATGTTTCCAAATTGAATTTCTGATATTCTCAGATTCTCAACATGAAGAAATGCAGATTATCCTTGTGGAATCATATGTAATTTGCTTGGTTGTACATTGTCAATACTTGTTAGTGGCTTACAAAGTTGAGTTCTTTTTTCTAAAATAGTTTGTGTTGTGATGTGCAATCATAAGTTCAGGCCAGACTTTTGTGGTCATTTTATGCTAGTACTTGTCAATATATATTGCTGTAGTATCAGTCAATTGTACTCTGGGATAGAAGTTATGAAGTTAAAATTGATATTTTTATATGGTATATTGCCCTTGCTAATTAACACTATCTGTATTATTTATCCTGTTTCAAGTCAGGCTTAATGTTTTGATTGTTAAAAACCTTTAGCCTTTCAAGTAGAATAACTTGATCTTTTACTTATAGTTGGTTCTTGTGTTGGGTTGTGGAAAGCATGTCACAACTTTTTTTTTCTCAATAAAATACGTAATTTAGTCTTCTCGAGGTGCTACTTTTTCGTGGGGTATAGTGTGACATACTATGCCAACCCATAATGCACTACCATTGAATTTCAAAATCTACAAGAGTATAATCTCATTTTTATCTACTTTGTAGAGGAATCTGAAACGGACAGTGAAGAGTCTGATGTTAGTGGTTCTGATGGGGATGATACTTCATGGATTTCTTGGTTTTGTAACCTGCGTGGTAACGAGTTCTTCTGTGAAGTTGATGATGATTACATTCAGGATGATTTTAACCTATGTGGATTGAGCAGTCAAGTTCCCTACTACGACTATGCACTTGACCTCATCCTTGATGTTGAATCCTCCCATGGTACATATTTTTTCTCTTATTTAGATTACTTCATATTTTGTTATGAAATTCCAGAGAATTAATTTTGGACTTATCTTTACATTATATTGAAGGATAATTTTCTCGTCTTTGAAACTATTGGGTTTATTTTTATTTTTTTTGGTTTCTTATGGACTATATCCACAAATTAGTACCTAGTGAATGGAAGATGCGGAAAACTAGTTAGTTTTACTTGATATGTTCTAGCTTCTAGGTTGATTAGGATGACAAGTTCTTATCAGTGTTGTGAAAGGCGCTCGCCATAGCGCCTTTGGCGAATGGCGAGGTTGTGTCACCATTATCCACTGAGGTGAGGCGACCCAATGACGACGTAAATGGCGTCACCGTTTTGATTTTTTTAAAAAAGTTTTAACTTAATAATATTAGTTTTTTTTTTCTATTTTCAAACTTTCATCAGACTTTCGTGTATTCCTCTTCTTCTCTTCCTCAGTCGCTGCTCGCTTCTTCGTCTCTTTCCCTCAAGTTGCTGCTCCATTCGTCTCTTTCTCTTTCACTCTTCGCTGTCCTTGCCTTCACTACTCTTTTTTTCCTCTGTTTTCTTCACTCTTTGTTTTGTCCCGGATTATTGTAAAATGCTTTCTGCTTTCACTGTGTTGTGACTGCTGTCCATTATTTTTTTGAAAAAAAATTAATTCTTCTATTATAATTATTATAGTATTTGTAATATATGTAATTGCTATTGAAATTTTGAATTTTATATGTGCAATTAAATGTTTTTAATTTTTGGTATTAATTGGCGCCTCGATTCAAAAAGGCGAGCGCCTCGCCGCGTGGTGAGGCAGGCCCTTGTCGCCTCTCGCTGTCCAAAACACTGGTTCTTATATAGGCTGGGAGAAATTATTGAAAGTTAATTTTGGGTCAAGTTCATGCTCTCAAAAATAATAAAATTGAATAAAATGAGTAACTTCCTATCACGATCCAAACCCTCCCTTAGCTATGATTGACTATCCGAGTCTAGGCAAATCAAAACATTTATTACCCAAAATCTAATTATGCGGAAGCATTACTAATAAAAGCTAACAATCGACAAAGTCATAAATGAGAGATTTAATACAACATGGAAGCCAAATTAAAAGCACATAATTAAATTTTCTTGAACTAATGTTACATTGTCATGACTCATGAGCAAACTGAAGAGAAAGGTACAATTTTCTCAACTAGTACATAGTTCGAAAATAGAGAAGTCAACAACATAATGACATGAAAGCATGTCATGACCACTGTGGTAGAAGGCAAACGATACACTACTGAAAAACTGGATCACAACTGGAACTCACTCGCGTACCATGTTGGTAATGTGATCCGAACTTGTACCAAAAAGTGTAGGAAGTGTAGCTTGCGTGTGAAAATCAATGTATACCCAATAAGTCTCATTGACTGCTCCCACAGAGTATGAGAAATATTACTTAAAAAGACACCTTTACCTTTAGTTTATGCAATTTAGGTGGGACATATAAGGGAATGAGCAATTAACAAGAATATAGGCATGAATAGCCAATTAACAACATTTAAGCATTTATCGCAATTCAAACCAACAGAATAGAAATGTTCGATACATATAACGGAATCAAACAAAGTTAAATAGTCAAAGAAGGCGGTAAAGGTAAAATCTTTATCACATAATTTACTTCTCAACTCAGTTGGCTAACTCTTTCATGGTTAGCGTGTACACCCCTAGGGAAGTACCAAGTCGTTGATTCATAAGCGACAGATTCATATCCACACACATATGATCATATCAATGATTTTTTTTGTGAAACTAAATGATCATATCAAACGATCTTACATACCCAAATAGTCCTTCATGTTACTTTCACAATCCAAACTCAATAGTCCCCACATCACATGGTCCCTAATTTGTCACAAGTAAGTTGTACAACTGTATCAATTTCATATTAGGAGCTGAAAAGGAAATCAGTGTACACTACATAGATAAAGCATGAATTTCAACAGATATGAAGATAGAAGTTAGAACATGCTTTTCTAGTGTTTTTTTGCATAACCGAGAAATTCGTTTGTGACCCACCCTTTTGACCAATCACAACCTTCTAAACTCGGTGGATAATGGGCTTGGCCCTCTACCATTGGCTTCACTTTGCATGGTGTGGGGCTTGAACTTGCAACCTAAGTCACAGATCCTCCACCTTTTGCCGCTCGAGCTAGGCCTTGGGAGCGCTTTACTAGTATTTAACTAGCCCAACTTCAACATGACATATATATATATATATATATAATGCTCAACTCATCAAAATGTGGGTATGGGTACGAAAGCAAAAGCCTAGCATTTCAAGTATCCCCTTTTACAACTGATAGTTGTATATATACGTGTCATGCCATGCATAAATTATCGCTACACATTACAAGTCATGAATGACACATAAATTGGGAATTATTACCCTATTGACAAAAATGGCTCGACTTAACTCGATTAAAGCAAGCTTTCAGCCTTTTATGACCTCCTTTCCACACCCAAACATGTCCAAATGGCTCAACTCTAGCCAAAAGAATGTTCAACAACGTCAAACAAAGATAAGAATCTATTCCCATAATTTAGTACATGGTCTAAATTAAAGTTAATAAAATTTGAACTCAACCCTCAGGGTCAAAATCCAAAATTTATTTGAAAATTAGTTGCCCGGAAGTTCCCGAGTTCAAATCTGTAATTAGATTCCCAATTCGACATACCTTCAAATCCTAAAATGCACATTCTAGAATCTAGGACAACATCCCTCCATTGGACACTTCAAAATCAATGATTGAAGCTTTGAATCTCATGGTCCTGACATATAATAACTAAGAGCCTGTTTGGATTGGCTTTTGGTTTATAAGTCATAAGTTAGGATTTCTAACTTATGGCTTTTGGCTTATTTTTGTTATTTTGGCTTTAAAATAAGTGCTTATAAGTACTTTTTAACTTTATCCAAACACTTCAAACTGCTTAAAAGCTATTTTGGCTTTTTTTTTTGACTTGCTTGGTAACAAAAAGCTATTTTGGCTTAAAAACACCTAAAATAAGTCTATCCAAACAGGCACTAATACTAGTCTAAGAAACTTATCCAAACTCAGTTGATGATTTCCTCTCCAAAAATTGCACCAACCGAGTGCAGAGCACCCCTAAAATGTCTTGAAATGAAATAAAAAACTTTAGCTTTTATACCTGTTACACTGCCCTATGCGATTGCGATGACAAAAATTCCCCTGCTGTGATCGTGTTGTGAAGCAAACAATACCAGAAAAAATCTGCAGTCTATTTGTGGGTTGTCCCTTTGTGTCCCAACCCAAACCCCTCAAGCAAGTCCCAAATGGTTTTTTGACTTGTATAAAGTCTTAGATCCTAAAACAGGGTGCTAAAACTTAGAATTTAGAGTCTGGTTGTTGTACTTTTTCAGTCACTCTTCCAGGTTCAGTCAACTGGTGTAAGCTGTACCATCATAATGTGTAGAAATGCCCATAGGTGAGCAATTGTATTTTTTAAGTCATTTTAAGTCTTTATGTTCATATGATTTTTAAGTCATTTGAAGTAAAGTTCTTATCTAGTTCTCCCTCTGCTCCAATTTATGTCACACTCTTTTCTTTTTGTAACATTTAAATTGTATACTTCACACTTTTTTTTTGACAAGGGAAACCCGCAGCTGCTACCCTTTTGGTGCGCACAGGGTAAAACCGCCGCTCCTATGCAATAGCTCGCAAACCACATAAGAGAGTAACCCGCACTAGGCAAGCCCGGTGCGACGAGCTCGATCTAAAAGGCAAACCCGGTGCTTTCGCTGGCAAGGGGTTTCATACTTGAAACCTCCAATATGGAAGTCCCAATTCCAAACGATTGGGCCACCCTGAAGGATAATTGAATACTTCACACTTAATGAGATGATTTTAAATATTTATGGCTTATTTTAAACTGCAGTTTCAAAGTCTTCCTTTCATTGTTAAACTTGGTGGCTAGTCAAACACATTCACATAAATTGGGACAGAGGGAGTAGTAAGGTTTTGGAGGAATGTCCAGTGTTATCAAAAACAAATAGTGCAAAAAAGTTGTAAGATCCATAGGAGTTTTAGTGCAAATAAAGTGTGGGCTTTAGTGAAAAAAGACGCAAAGGGAGAAAAATACAAATATATATATGTCAAGTCAAAGACTAACGATTAGAGTATGAATGTCAAATTTATGAACAAAGAAATTGAAATTCTTTTTACGAAAAACTGAATTATCAATGGTTTGGTGTCACCTCTTCAGAAGAGGCTCATTGGCAAGGAAAAGTATGCTTTAGAGCTTTGATGACGATACTGAAGCGCACATTAAGCGACGAGAATAGCTCAACACGTTTTGAGCCTCGCTTTAGGGATTAAGCGCGCCTGTGATTACACTGAGAGCATCTCCTTTGTCTCTCATTGTCCATGTTTGATGAGACCTTCTTGCCACAATGCAGCAAATTTAAGCCAGTAAACCTTGATATATTGAAATTGTGGTGCCCCTATGGCTAATCGTGTATTGTATTCTATCTCACATCTCATTGGAAAGTAAAAAAGGAAACCAACTGTCCTTGCTAAAAATCAAAAGATGGGATGGAAAGGGGAGAAATTCCTGTTTACCTCTGCTAACTGCTGATAAAACTTAAAAGGAGCTGCTTCTTTTCAATCAAGAGTTCAGTTTTCTTCTGGAATTATGGCATGTGTTGCAATAAACATTGGTATATTCTTTTGTCTGCTGTTTTTAACTCCCTTCTCTTTCATGTATTCGCTTGTTTGATGGTGTCAAAAGATGGAGACCCAGTATCATTAGCGTAAATCTGATTACACCAAAAACATAGCAGTAAGATGAAGTTCATCTTGATCTTCTGCATATATCTCTAAGCTCTCAAAACATCTGGAATTTCTCTGCTTCCAGATTGTCAACTGGGAGAATTCTGCATCTACTCCTATTTTAAGCATGTGAACATGTTACCTCCCAGCTGCTAGAGCTTCTTTTATCTTGCCTGGCATTGTCCATGCTAAGCCTTTAAGGTTTAGGTGATTCTCCACAAATGAGCTGTGTATGGACAATGCAGAAATAGATGGTTGACTGTCTCATCTGTTCCGTTACACAGAAAGCATTTTGAGCAGTGTCATACCTCTGCTCATCAAGCTGTACGCTGTTAAAGTGGTCTCCTTTGCTAGTAACCATACAAAAATTGATACTTTGTGGGGAACTCTTATCCGCCAAATCTGCTTCCATGGCCAGATATTTCAGGTTTTAGGGTTCTTTTGCTGTGAGTTTTAAATAATCTTGTATTTTTTCCTAATTATTTGATGTCAAAAATTCTATTTTCCTTAGCAGTTCCATCTCTTGGTGTAAAACATTACGAGTTATCCTTTTATTTTTCTTTGCATTGGTGGGTGAGGTTGGGGGTTAATCTGTTAACATGGTTCTTAACTAATTCTGATGTTTTGGAAAAATGATATATGTGACGTTTCTGAATAATTTCTGTTGCATGATCTAACAAGCTATCAATTTGTTGCAAGTCTTGAATCTACTTTTATGTTCAAGTTGAAAATGTCTTTGTTACCAGTACATCCTTGGACTTTGGGGCAGGCCAAGCTTAACGATTCATTCATTTTTTGTTTTATGTTTCAAGTTAGAAACACATCCTCCTTTATAATCTAAAGTAAAACTTCCCCGTCTGTGTCTTTATGAGACCAAGAATACTGTCCTAGATCAAAATGCTGCATCATCTTTCATATCAAGACAATTGCAGTTTGTCAAATTTTTCCTGCTTTGAATAGGTGATATGTTCACAGAAGAGCAGAATGAATTGGTTGAATCGGCGGCAGAGATGTTGTATGGTTTGATTCATGTTCGGTACATTTTGACTAGCAAGGGAATAGCCGCTATGGTAATTGCTTGTCCACATTCTCTTGTATAGTTTCATATTTTCCTCCTTTTGATGTGTTGTTTTACTATGTTTCATTTAACCCTGTCCATGAGACGGTGGTGGTGCCTAATATCTGGGACAAACCTTTCAGTTGGAGAAGTACAAAAACTACGACTTTGGAAGATGCCCACGAGTTTACTGCAGTGGACAGCCTTGTCTTCCCGTTGGTCAATCAGATATTCCGCGTGCAAGTACTGTAAAAATATACTGTCCGAAGTGTGAGGACATCTATTACCCTCGATCGAAGTACCAAGGCAGTATCCTTTTCTGCTACTAATTTTTTATATGTTCTCTCTCTCTCTCTCTACATGCGCGCGCTCACACACACACACACTTGCAAATCTCATATCGATTTTGAGATTAGGTCTCTACTCATAAATTTCATATTACTCTTTGTTGCCTGCTTGAGTAGCCTATTTTTTGTTCTTGGTTATGATTTCTTTAACTGCTCAAGATATTGATGGAGCTTACTTTGGGACGACATTTCCTCATCTCTTCTTGATGACTTATGGACACCTCAAACCGCAAAAACCAACGCAAAACTTTGTCCCCAGGGTGTTTGGCTTCAAGATCCACAAGACTTGACAGTAAAGCCCGTTATGATGTTGTAAACAGATCAAATTTTCTGCCAGTAATGATTATTGCTAGGTAGCTTTGATGTACAATTGGTTATGGTAGAGACAGGTGAAGCAGATGAGTTGGTGATAATTATGAAACATTCTTCTTCATTGATGAAAGGCAACTTGGGCCAATCTGTCAGGTGAAATTTATTCCCAGAATATTGCCATGACAGCATTTGTAAAGCTTGTTTCATCACACCAGTTTGAGAATTGATTTATATTTCCTTCTCGACGACCAGTTTTCGTGGCCACTCTAATGGTCTTTTCATCTCTCTTCAGTATTTACTCCTACCATCAGGATCATAGACTAGGGTATATAACCCTTCCTTTTTTAGGACAATTTCCAGTTGTAATGATGTGTGATGGTATATTAAATGGTTATATCAAAGCTAAATATGTTATTTCCTTAAAACTAGTGATAATGGTAATGTGAAGTGCGAAGAACTTGCACAAGGGTATATGAATGATTGATATTAAACTAAATAAGTGAGTGTTTACCAAACAAGAAATTATTCATCATTTGCTTGTAAATATGTTTAAATGGTCTAATTACTAGAGTAGGCATTCAGTTTGCAATACCTCTATTTTCTAAAAATAAGTAGTTTGGTGCACCGTCATGCAAGCTAGCAAAGCCAGCGCAGAAGCAGCCCCCCGATTGAATACGAAGTTTAACATCCTGAACGAACTGCTTTCCTTAAGCTAGCGCACCGGCACCGCTCCGTGGGCCCCCCTTCTTAGAATTAGAACCCATTGAGGGGGGCCTCGGCCCGGGAAGGGGAGAGAAGGAAAGGGGCTAAGATCCTCGTTGACAACATGAATTCGTACGCAAGATACCGAATTGGATCCCTTTCATAGATGGGAATTGATGAATTAAGGAAGCAGTAGCACTCCCTCCCGATGTTTTGCCAGAAGCGAAGCTCGTTTTCCGACAGAAAGAGAAAACTGCAGCTAAGCTCTGGGAGTTCGGAGAAAAGCTAGACTACAAGAATCTATATATTGTATGCATGAATTCCAAATTCATATAAATCGACTATTCGATGGTTGCGCTTATTATCAAAGAAAATCTTTGGATGTGTTCAACAAAATTGTTTCTAGTCTAGTTTCATGATTTGCTTAACACAAGAGTCAAAATCGATTACTCGAGTAGTTTTAGCTTATGCTTATTGATGAATAAAACTTACCGTAATAGCTTTTATACATTCCAAAAATTTGTATATCTTGATCAATATGCAGAATTGAGGTAAGTTCCATATATCGAATAGCAATTGTTCGAAATTAGTTTTAAACTTTTTTTCTCTTTTGTTCATTCACACTTTTTTTATTTTCTCTTATTTTTACACTAAAGAATGAGAGAGAAAATGAAATGAGAATAAAGAAACTCAACAATAATTAAAGAAGTTAAAAAATAATTTATATGTGAAAAGGATCAAATATATTATTTTTTAAAATATTAAAAATAAAAAAAATTAATTTTATCACTTTTATAACGGTATGAGTATATACAACCATTTTATAAGGTAAGGAGTATATGTGATCCAATTTTATAGCGGTAGAGGTATATTCTTGAATTGCTTTATTTACTAGGCGTTTTTCAACTCGAAATGACAAAGTTCAAAAGTATATCATGCCAATTTCCCTTATAAAAATAATAACCAAAAGTTAAAAGTAAAAAATCTGGCCATATGTAAGTTTTAGTATTTAGCTTATTTTTACACTTTCTGGTCTAAAAGTAATTTATTTTTAAGCATTTGTTATCTTTTCCAAACATCAAAAAAAAAAAAACACTTAAAACAAGCCATTGTAAACGATTTTTTAATAGTGTATAAGAAGTGAATTCTGCCCAACCTTGGGTTGTTATTTCTATTACTTCATATGTTAATAATTTATTATAAATTGTTCTTTTTATGTCCGTATTAAGACCTTTCAATATATAGAGTATTAATATCTTATAATTAACATCATCATCCAGTAAGTAAGAGTTCATTTTAACCATTTTCATTTTCACTAAAATTTTATTCCTTCCAACCTCTTAATAAATTATAGTTATTTATTATGTAATAATAATGGTTTAATAATCATCTCGTCTGATCACTACTCCAATACGAGCATCAAACATCAATATGAATATCCATTTTATTGATCTATTCAGCACAATAACTTACTTATTTGTTAATTACTTAATTTAAAAAAGAAAAGAAAAAGAAAGATATAAAAACAGAAAACTGGAAAATGGTTAGGTGCGCGCCATTTGTAACGGCTTTTTAGCCCCAATTTGTTTTACTCTGTAAACTTCATCTTCTTCTTCATCAAGAAAAAAAAAATGGCTGCACATCCCTTGTTTCCCCGCTTCACACCCGAATTCACCTACGATCCTCGACCCGGCTATGTCTTCATCGAACGAAACGCCAGAACTAAGTACGTTCTCCTGGAAATAATCGGAATTAATTACCTCCAACTGCTGCATACAAACGACCACAACACTTCCGATCTCATTTACAAAGCTTGTTACTACACATCCGATTGGGTCGACAACGACAATTTCCTTCCTTCCGGTTATGCCACTATCAAGTTCATCCGAGGCGGACCAGAAGTCCTTAGGAGCAAGCTGGCGGAGGAACAACCAATTCCTGATCCAAACATTATTAACGTCGAAAAATGGGCTATTCAGAAATACCACGGAGGATACTGTGTTGCATTGCCTTATATGTCAGAAGGATCGCTCCGTTACATTCTGTCAACTCGATTTCACAACGGATTACCAGAGGATTGTATTGCTATTGCTCTTAAACAAGCGCTTCGGGGTTTGTTTGTTCTTCATAATTTGGGTCTGATTCATAAGTGTTTCAGTGCTGGGAATATCTATGTTAATTTCAAATCGAATGTAGAAATCAAATTGGGATTTGCAGCAACGATTTACGATTCAGAGTTGGAATCTCCTCTTTTTGTTAGTCACGGAACAGAACTTGGCGTTGATTCAACTGTTACCGATCTACAAGATGATCCTCCTGGACATCCGGTAATTAACAATTTGTTTAGTTAAATTAAGGTGTTGAAATCAATTGTGTTATTAGTCGATAATTTTACTTGTGTTTATGAATTTTCAACAGAATCTAGAACTAGGCGAGTTGTACAGATGGGCTGCTGCGCCGGAGGTGTTCTATTCACCATGTGATGATGCCCACACTGTTCATTCCGATATCTGGTTAGTCGGTGTAGCAGCATTGGAATTAGCATATGGAAATTTAAGAATAAGCGATCACGAAGAATTTGAGGCAATGATCAAGAAGATAAAGAGGTCGAGGAGATTGCCGGATAAGTTGGAAGATGTGCTTGAGGAGATTAATGTAGAAGAAGGGAAAGGGAAAGGGAAAATGAAGAAAGTTTTGGTATATCTTAACGACAAACTGAAGTGTGTGAAAGGTAAAAGAAAGTTTTCGAAAGAGTTTGAGGAGTTGGTGTTGGATTGTCTTTCTAGCAAAGAATCAAAGAGGCCATCAGTTGGAGATCTATTGCAGAGACCATTTTTTCGGAATGCTAAGAACTTGCAATGGTTTCAACGCCGCGTGTTGTATGCAAAGAATCCAATGGCTTATTGCTGATATCTGATGATGAACGATTACATAGAAATCGTGTTGTAGTGTAGTAGTTCATGTTTTTAGACACTTAATTGTTGAAAAGGGAATTACATTTCTTCTGTTGGTTCTCCATTATAATTATATCAGAATTGTAGTATCAATTTAGTGTGTAAAGTTGCTTATTAGTAGTTGAATATTGTGCAATCAATAAATAAAGAATTAGAGTATGAGTAAAGGAGCTCTGTATATGAAGCTTCTATGCTTCAATGTTATCGTAAACTTCAAGCAACGAATAGTTCATCAGGGCAACATTCTTCTCCGAATACCCTTTTCCCTAATAAATCGAAACTTTCTTCTGGTGTGAGCAATCAAATATAAAGAGTACGTACCAAGTTAACAACACTCCATGGGTAGTGATTTCTTTCCATCAAAAGCGGAATAAGAAGCATGCAAAGTTAACAACACTCCATGGTTAGCGACTCAAGAGCTAGTGGATATAAGGGACTTATACCCTGCCCCTAAAATAGATTTGGAAAACCGGTGGCAGATCAAGAAAAAGATATTATTGTAGGAATGATTGTGGTTGCACTTTTTCAAGACGTTTGAGTACATTCTCCGATACTGGACTTTGGACATGGCAAAGTTTGAGAACGGGTGCAACCCCGCATGTCTCAGGCAAGAATGTACATCACCAGCCTTGTATAGATGAGGTGTTTAACATAAGGATTTTCTTTGCTGATCGCAGTCATTGCTCGTAATGAATTGTATCTTCTGATTGTAAATCATCAACTTTCGAACTACAAATCCTGAATAATATTTTTCAAATTTGCAAAGTTTGTTTCATTGGTTTTGTATAACTTAAAACAGATGGACACGTGTCAACTGGAGAGGAGACTCCTCCAACTATAAATACACCAGAAGTTGAGAAATCAGTTACCATTTTTTCTCTGTTTCCCGCTGAAATTCTCCAATTCTTGATCATCAAATGGCTAACGAAGAAGCGCCCGTTTGGAAGAAGAAGATATTCACTGAAGAAGAAGAAGCCTGCAGAGTTAACAACACATCACCGGTAAAGACTCGAGAACTAGTAGAGATAGGATCTCCCCTGAAATTCGATTGTAACGACCCATGGAAGATCAAGAAAGAGATTACCAGTCATGTTCTCGAGGAAGGAAATCTGGTGATTTCACATTCGGAGACGTTTGACTACATTCTTCCATATTGGAGCTTGGAGCATGCCAAACAATTGGTGAACGGGGAAATGAAGCGTGTTGCTATGGGGGATGTAATCAATGGGACTAAGCGTAATGAAGATGCAGGTTTTATTTTTCGGAAGCTGCCTAATCATGATGACTATTCTCTATCCGTCAAGGAATTGTTCAACATTCACCGATTGGGTGTTGGTGATAAAATTGGGCTATATTGGGATCCTAGATTTCAAATGTTTATGTTCACAATACTTTCTAAGGTTTGTAAGAAGAAGACATTTTTTCTTGGAGACCTAATAGAGACAGATCCTGTCCAGACAATCCATTCAAATAACTTGAAGCACATGACGAAAAAGATTACCAGTCAAGATATTGCTTCTGGAGAGCTGCAGATTTCATCTTTTGATATGTTTGACTACATTCTTCCATACTGGAACTTGGAGCAGGCAAGAAGTTTGGTGAATGGGACGCCGGTGATTGTTGGCTTGTGGGACTTAACAGAGACGAAATATGGCAGGACTAATAGGTATAAAGGTGTAAGTTTTACTTTTAGGAAGCTGGATGATCTTACATACTCTCTATCATTCATGGCATTGATCAATGATCGTGGATTAGGTGTTGGTGATGAAATTTGGCTATGTTGGAATCCTATTGTTTCAAAGTTTATATTCAAATTAATTTCAAAGGTTTGTCGGAAGAAGATATTCGCTAACATACCAGGGGTAATGACTCGAGAGCCAACAGTGACGACAGACCTTCCCACAATATTTGATTCGAGTAACATAACGTACATCGGGAAACACATCACCCATCAAAATATCACTCAAGGTACACTGGAGATTTCATTGTCCCAGACGTCTGAGTACATTCTTCCATACTGGAAGTTGGACAAGGTCAAAAGTTTGGTGAATGGGAACATGGAGCGTGTTGGAGTGTGGGATGTAACAGAGGAAATGTATGGCAGGACTAATAGGTATGAAGATGTAAGTTTTACTTTTAGGCAGACGAATGATCTTAAATACTCTCTATCATTCATGGTATTGATCAATGATCGCGGATTAGGTGTTGGTGATGAAATTTGGCTATGTTGGAATCCTATTGTTTCGAAGTTTATATTCAAAGTAATTTCAAAGGTTTGTCGGAAGAAGATATTCTCTAACACAGCTCAAGAGCTAAAAGAGACGACAGACCCTCCCATTCAATTTTATATGAGTAGCATATGCAGAAGGTACTTGAGGAAACACATCACCCATCAAAATATCACTCAAGGTATACTGGAGATTTCATCTTCCGAGACGTCTGAGTACATTCTTCCATACTGGAAGTTGGACGAGGCCAAAAGTTTGGTGAATGGGAACGTGGAGCGTGTTGGGGTGTGGGATGTAACTGATGAAAAGTATGGCAGGAATAATATGCATGAAGATGCAAGTATTGCTTTTAGGAAGCTGGATGATCTTAAATACTCTCTATCGTGCATGACATTGATCAATGATCGCGGATTGGTTGTTGGTGATGAAATAGGGCTATGTTGGAATCCTATTATTTCAAAGTTTGAATTCAAATTAATAAGTAGGGCTGTCTTGATTGATTAGGGGCTTGTACAAATTCAAGTTTTATGTTCAAATTGTGTAAATGATTGAAGAATTGAAACATGAATATATGATGGATGATTCTTTTCTCAAATTTAATCTGTTTTTTGTACTTGTGTTTGGAATTATGTCTACTTGTGTTTATTTGCAAGAAAATATACGAGTTTCAATTCATCTGTTATACAAGTTTGAATGTTTTGATGAAAGATGTGATAGTTCAAACTGTTTTATTTCTTTTTTAGAGATGGTTGTATTATCGTGTCTTACAACAATCACATTCTTTTGATAGAACCTCTTATGTTTTTTTCTTCTTACTGATATCATCGTCTTCATACCTCAATTCTGCTGATCTGAACTAGCAAGTGTATGCGCTAGCATTAGTCATTGTACTTCATCAAAGAGACGGTGTCCATTTTGCCTGGTAGTGAGTGCACTGATCTGTTCTCATAGAACCTCTTGTGTTTTTTCTTTTACTTGAATGTGCTGATATCATCGTCTTCGTAACCTCAATTAAGCTAACTAAACACTTGATTAATATTAACTAACTAACTGCTAACAGAAGGGAACTGCTGTGCAAGTATATATATATAAAGTCTTTATTTCCATTTTTTTCTGCATAATCAAAGTTGCTGGCTGCTCAACTGTTTCTGAAAAATCCTAGCTAATAGCTATAAAATCAAAACTAAAATGATGACATACATTACCATAGAATGCTCTTCATGCTAGTTCGGCCAACATATTCTCGAGGGGAACGCTCAGTTTGCTCTGCAGTTTTTTGAAGCATAAGTTAAAACTAATAACTACAGTAGTCTCTTTTTTTTTTTGAAGCATAAGTTAAACCTAGCCTCTGGCAAAAATTAAAAAAGTGGAAATTAGGACATAAAAAAAGGGAAGGCAACCGACTTATAACCTTCCACTCAAGCAAAATACACGATCCAACTAATTAAAAAATTACATTCGTCATATCTTCTTCTTATACAAGGTAGTTGCCATCTGTCCAATTGAAAGAGTCCCTTCGCTTCTGATAAGAGAAGTAGAAGGTACCATTTCCACTCGATGGAGCCAATTTGTCTAGGAAGTCAGCCACTTGGTTGGCTTGTCTATAACAATGTGAGATGCTCACTTCTGCCCCTTCCATAGCGTTGACAGTTGGTTTGATAATGCGTTGACAGTTCGTTTGATAAGTCACAAGTTGAGAAGGCAACACAAATAGCTGCTTTAGTGTTCCATAGGATTTGCATTTCCATTTTAGATATCAAATATTTGGTCTGATCTCCGTATCTACAAGATGTCCAATTTTTCCAGATTTCCCATGCTATACACATGGGAGTGATTTGTTGTACCATTTTATGCACACTGTTGGCAGTGTTCATATTCCACCAAACATTGAAGCGTGTTGGAGTATGGGATGTAACAGAGGAAAAATATGGCAGGACTAATAGGTATGAAGATGTAAGTTTTACTTTTAGGAAGCTGTGTAGTGATGACTACTCTCTATCGTGCATGGCATTGATCAATTGTCGCGGATTAGGTGCTGGTGATCAAATTTACTATGTTGGAATCCTGTTGTTTCAAAGTTTATATTCAAATTAATTTCAGAGGTTTGTCAGAAGAAGATATTCTCTAACACAGCTCAAGAGCTAAAAGAGACGACATACCCTCCCATTCAATTTTATATGAATAGCATATGCAGAAGGTACTTGAGGAAACACATTATAACCCATCAAAATATCGCTCAAGGAACACTGGAGACTTCATCTTTCGAGACATCTGAGTGCATTCTTCCATACTGGAAGTTAGACGAGGCCAAAAGTTTGGTGAATGGGAACGTGAAGCGTGTTGGGGTGTGGGATGTAACTGATGAAAAGTACGGCAGGGATAATATGTATGAAGACGTAAGTTTTACTTCTAGGAAGCTGTGTAGTGATGGACTACTCTTTATCGTGCATGGCATTGATCAATAATCGTGGATTAATTTAGCTATGGTGGAATCCTATTGTTTCAAAGTTTTTGTTCATATTAATGAGTAGGGCTGTATTGATTGATTAGGGGCTTGTAGAAAGTTTTTACTTTTACTTGAATTTGCTGATATCATCGTCTTCGTACCTCAATTCTGCTGATCTCAACTTGCAAGTGTATGCAGAATAACGTCATAGAGACGGTGTCCACTAATCTGTTTACATAGACTCAGCTAATTTTACAGCCACAACTAACTAACCACTTGATTAATATCAACTAACTAACTGCTAACATAAGGGAACTGCTGTGCAAGTACCTGCATTTGACCGCTGCAAGTATAAACTCATCTCCTGGAAGTC